GCTCCTCTCACCTCAACCCCCAACCCCACCTCCTACCTACCAGCCTCATCCCCGCCTCCTTGACCTGTCCGTCTTCTCATGACTGACCAAACCCCACCCTAACTCCCCACCTACACTCACCTTTACTGGCTTCAACCCCGCCTCCTTGACCTGTCTGTCTCCTCTCCACCTATCTGCTCCTTTATCCGCCTTCTATCCATCTCTCCCTCTCTCTCTATTTATTTCAGAATCCCCTTCCCCTCCCCCATTTCTGAAGAAGGGTCCAGACCTGAAACATCAGCCTTCCTGCTCCTCTGATGCTGCTTGGCCTGCTGTGTTCATCCAGCTCTACACCTTGTTATCTGAAAAACAAAGGCAGCCATTTCTCCCTAACCTTCAACACCATCTCCATAACTACCTTCATCACTATCAATGCTCGGGGCAGTGGGGGATCATCATTATAGAAGCATAGAATTATAGAATGGTTAAAATGCAGAAGAAGGCCACTCAGCCTAACTTGTTTATGCTGGCTCACAAAGAGAGCAACTCAACTAATACCACTTCCCTGCACTTTCTCTCTCGTTCTACAAATCTTTTCTCTTCAAATAATTATTCAACTCCATCTTGAAGACCAATTATCTGCACCATACTCTCAGGATACATATTCCTGATACTAATCACTCACTGGGTAAAAATACTTTTCTTCCTGTCACCTCTGATTCATTTGCCAATCAGTTTAAATTAGTTTTCTCAGGCCCTTAATGCTTCCACCAGTTGGGGTCTGTCTGGATGCCTCAGGGCTGTTCAAAAACCATATCATCGATCATAGACGTTACTGAGCTGGCTGTAGTAACACAGTGACCATAAGTGTAAGGCAGATGCCTGCTACTCTAACAACTGGCTAGCGTTCTAACCTTTCAATGTCATTCAACTGTTGATAAGCTTAGGTCAATGACGTGATGAAATAGTCCCCTCTGTGCCTCAAAAATGAAAATAGTTACCTGCATAAGTAGAAAAAGCTTTTGTTTTTTGTAACTATAGAGAAGCTCTGAGAAAAGTCAAAATTCCAATGTTTTGTGTTTGGCTTTGCTCTCTGCAACAACTGTACAGATATAAAAACAAAGTTGCTGGAAAAGCTCAGCAGGTCTGGCAGCATCTGTGGAGGAGAAAACAGAGTTAAAGTTTCGGGTCCGGTGACCGTTCCTCAGAACTCCACAGATGCTGCCAGACCTGCTGAGCTTTTCTAGCAACTTTGTTTTTGATCCTGATTTACAGCATCCGCAGTTCTTTTGGTTTTTAACTGTACATATATGATTTAGAGCCTTCTTATATATTTATTGATGATTTTTATGAATATATTTTTGAAATAAAAAGTAATGATGGAATAGTCATTGTTTGCTTGCCCAATGCCATTCAGGACAAAGCACTTCATTCAGTTGGTGTCCTTATAGTGGATAAGTGTCCACACTAACAGGTCACTCTGACTTCACCGTGTAGAAAGTGCAGACACTGTGTAGAAAGTGCAGACACAGTAAATGTCTGAGGTAATCTCCCAGCCTGCAACACAGCAATAAACACAATTTTGCAGCAACACCCAATATTTCAAGAGCAAATTCAGATTCATTTTGATGCTTGATCTTTCTTCAGTTATTAATGGTCTTTATTAAAACAGTAACAAAGGCACTAGATTAATGCATTTGTTTCCCCAGGCATAGGATGACAGTTTTACTGCCAATTACACATTGATTGATGGTGTTTTTGAATCTGCATGGGTACAAAAACTGGCAACCTACTTTTGGAGTTAGGTCCTAGGATGTGGTGGTGAAAAATTATTTTGAGGAAATTACCCCTTGCCAGTTTACACTCGGATGCAGAATGTCCATTCACCATCTGTGACATCGAGACCATCTTCCAACTGGGGTTTCCCTGCGCTAAAATTGCCAGTTCAGCAAATGTTTGGAATGTTTATATGCACAGTACAGTTTTAGAAGATGATTTTGTATGGGTTATACTTGTACTTTTCAAGGTTGTCCAAGGATAAACGACTTGCCAGTGTTCATAGCAACCTCAGGATTAGAAATTCCAAACTAGAGTCAGACCGCGTACGAAAGCTATATCACGTTGACATGAAAACCTCCTTTGAACTTGTCCATGAATGCGCCTGAACTAATAAATAAAACCGTTTTTACAATTAATTAATCGCTCGATGAAGATAAATACAGAATGGGTCTGTTAGTGTAGATATAACGTTTGCACATAGCAACAATGAGGCACCTGGATTTGCATTTGGCACCGTCTTCAAACACTAATCTTATTTCCAACTCTTGTTTCTTGAATTTAATCCGCCTACCGCTTTAAATTGTGTCCTAAACGTTCTTTTTTCCGCTTTATCGCACGTTGGAATCTGCCTCATTTATTTCTTTTTTACATCAGATTTAAATTTACACCATGTCAAAAATTGTTTCATTACTCCCATATGCCGGCTGCTTTATTGTTTTTTTTTAATGAACACGGGTCAGCTGCTCATTCTACACAGCTGTAAGGGAGATGGGGGTCCCAGAGCTAGGGGTCCCAGTTAAGGAGTTTATTGTACTCGGTGTGTGAGGGCAGACTGTCAGAAGAGAAGACGCTTGCAGATATCTAAATATATCTGGCTAATATTAGGGTAAAGGCAGTCGGTGGGTGGAGGAGAGGCGTGAATATCTAATCACACAGACACAAAAAGAAAGACTTCCCCAGCTTGGATCTGTGCCGTACCGCTCCTCGGCTTTAACTCGCTGCCCTTACTCAGACTCTGCAGGCAAACGCGGCCAGTCTAGCTCTGAACCTTCGTTCGCCGCCCTCTGATAGCGACGGGAGCACAGTCGGGACGATGGGTCGCTGTGGAAGTTGGCAGGGAAGTTTTTTAAGAGTGCTTGCTGCTGTCCTGCTCTGTCTCTCAGCGCTACAGCCTAGCCCTGGGTTTGCCAAAAGCCTCCGTGTGAAAGTAGCAGATAAAAACGATGTGAGTATTGCTGTTCAAAAGGAGGGCTGTGGGGTACTTCCATTTAAAACAAAATAAGGACAAACTGATCCTAAAGTGAGCATTTTGACGTGAAGTGGTAACGAGCCGATTTTAATCCAGAACACATGCTTAAGACACTGGAGTCAGGAGATGAATTGCTTGCTCGTGTTTTAAGTCATAAATTAACTGTCGACTGGGAACAAAAAAAATCCTAGCACACTGGAGTTTCTCCTGATCACCCCCAGTACCAAACGGAGCCTGGAGGACTGGGGGGGGGGGGGGGGCAATGCTCAAAGGAGAAATTCCTGTGTATTTATGTAACCTCGTCATTCTGAACGCGTTCACCCCTTTGAATAATTGCAGAAAATACTTAAGAGAAGCCTGATGGAGACCTGGAGCCTGGGTAGTAGTGTGAGAGTGAGGTGGTTTGGTTCCCTGGTTGTTCGGGCACAACGTGGACAATCCGTTCCCAGTCCCCGTTCGTGGGGTCTTGCTATTCACTGGCAGAGACCTTCCCCGTCCACATTTGACACGAAACAGAAAATTGCTGGAGAAACTCAGCAAGCTCTGGCAGAGAGAAAAGTAAAAGGTGACTGGACTCGAAACGTTAAAACTGCCAGACCTACCGAGTTTCTCCAGTCGTTTCTGTTTCTGTTTCTGTTTCAGATTTCCAGCATCTGCAGTTTATTTAACTGTTTTGTTTAACGCTTTTTTACCTTCTTAAATTGTGGTAACATTGGCAAGGCCTCTTAAGAACCTGATATCTCGATGGGGTAAACGGTATTCTCAATGGCATAATTTGGATCCTAGAATGGTGTAGTTTAATTAAACTAACAATTTCTGCAGTTTTCAAAAATAAACAGGATTAAAAATAAAAAGGAGAGCTCTATAGCCACAGTGATGTGGAATTGATGGCAAGAGAGAGAAAAAAATATGATGCTTGAAGTAGCTTCAATTCCTGAAGAATGCGCATACATCATCGCTGATTAGGTAATAAAAAACTACAGCGCCCATCCTGCCGAAAACGTTTGAAATAAACTTCCAATTACTGAGGGATTAATGTTATCTTAACCCTGAACGTACCACAGCAGATGCTTTGAAAAGCAAGGAAGAATGGTGAGCTTTATCTGGAGCCAGTTTAATGACTGAATAGAAAGCAGCTTCTGATTGCTAGCCATTGTTTTCTAAAGAACATACCAGCCGGGAATGATATTGGCCTGTCCTGCTCAGTACAAAATATGTGAAGCTCTCAATCGCTCATTAACTACTCGTTCTGCAAATCGATCCCCAGAATGTGAGATAACAGTGTGGAGCTGAAAGAACACAGCAGGCCAGGCAGCATCGGAGGATGCTGCTCCTCTGATACTGCCTGGCCTACTGTGTTATCTCTGATTCCAGCATCTGCAGTTCTTACTATCTCTGAGTGAGTTATAACCCACCCCCGAATGTGAGGTGTCTTTTTGCATTACGTTGTGTCCCCTATCTTTATTACTCTGGGTTTTAATTTATGTGAATTATAACTTCACTGACAAGTGAAAAGTATTGCCTTCTAGAAAATGAATAGATGCAATTCGTGTTCTTTGAGGATATAAGAACAAGGAGAAACTTGGTGCTAATAGTACAGTAACATGGTGCAGATTTAGTGAGGATTAAATAAAACATTAAGTTGGTAGTAGGCCATAGCATGACTGCGCCCATTACAAGTTGCAGTATCTGTATTAAATCATGCATTCTTCAAATCTCCTCTGCTGGGAGGAACTGTAACTGGTTCAACTCCATTCCTATCTATTCTCTCATAGTCAAAAGGATCACATGCAAAAGCTTATCTTGCTCCTCTTACATCTGTAGTAAGTCAAAGATCAAACTGTTCCCTTCCAATTTCTGCCTCTGAACAACATTCTCTGAAAGCAAAATACTGATTGCCACCTATGTGCTCTGCTCAGCTCTGCCTCAACACCACTCTCACCATCTCTAGTGTCTAAGGTTCTTTGAGCAGATTTGTGACTCAGGTTGTGGATGCTGCGGTTGGTTCGTTAGTTTGCAGACGTTTCGTTGCCCTGCTGGGTAACATCATCAGTGCAGCCTCCGAAGAAGCGCTATTGTGTTTTCCCGCCTGGTATTTAAACTCTGGGGTCCGTTGGACTTGATGAACTCATTTCTGGTTTTTCTTCACAGTGGTGTATATGATAGAGTCTAGTTCTATGTGTTTGATGATGGCCTTCTTGGTGGAGAACCAGACCTCTAGGAATTTCTGTTTGTCACTGTTTGGCCCGTCCTAGGATCCTGGTGATGTCCCAATCAAACTGGTGGTTCTCCTGATCCATGTGAATGGAGATGAGTGAGTGTTGGTTGTGTGTTTTTTGTTGCTAGTTGGTGTTCTTGTACTCTTGTGGCCAATTTTCTTCCTGTCTGGCCTAGAAGAAGAGGACCTCCACCAAGTATTTAAGGACAATGGATACCCTAACAACTGGATCTGACGATGCCTATCACACGAACAGCAACAGGAAGATACTGCACACCCTAATATACTCATCACGCTACCATACATCAAGAACATATCCAAACTGACCGCAAGACAACTACAACCATTAGGCATCAGAATAGCACACAAACCCACATCAACCCTACGCCAAGTGCTAACTCGAACCAAAGATCCTTAGCCACTATGGACAGAACCAATGTAATATACAAAATTCCATGCAAGGACTGAGACATCACATTGGACAGACAGGAAGAAAATTGTATTTCTGTTTCAATCTGTCCTCCCATGGTACGTGTCTGAGGCCAAACTGGACTGTTCACAATGTCTGAGTCTTATGTGTGGCTGAGTTGAGATTCCAAGCCACTCGCCCCTCTATCACCAAGGCTGTTAACTGCTGCCACCTCCATAATGTTCCTCATTTCTCATCCATGCCCTTGTCACTACTGGACATTCAGTTATATCAAAGTTTCATGATGAACAATAAATGTGGGTCTTGCCACGTCCAAAATATTGAAGGCAGATGCACTCACTTCTCTGGCACCCAGCTTTTGATTAGGCTTAACATGTAGTGCTTCATCAAACCTTGTTTATTGGTTGTGAGGCATCATCTAATCATCTTCCTTAATACCTCCCTTTCTCTCTATCCAGGAGAAGACAGCTGACCATAGGGCAGAAGGTGCTGGGCAATGTTCCCTCTTACTTGTTCTGCACTGCACAATCTCCAACGGACCTGCATGGTATCAGAAGCCAATGTGTGGCACGTCTGTCTGCATTCACAGAAACTCCCAGTGGCTGCCAAGTGTCTTGACTTAAATTAGGACCTTTGACAGGACTCCTGGCTTTGTGCCTGCATCAAATCACAAGACAATGCAGAAATACTGTGAACCTGGCAGCTCTGGCTGAGGGGCCAAAGTGCAAAAATGCAAGTCAAGACAAGGATGCTTTGAGGTGTACAGGTAGGCAAGCGCTGAGAGAGCAAGCAAACAGCCTTGAGATACGCCCTGGTTCAATCCATAAACTGGGTGCCTGTCCCTGTGGGTAAAATTTACTTGCAGCAGCATTCAAATGAAAGTTTTTGGTGCACCCTGAGATACAGCATAGAAGTGTAGGCACATAGTGTAAATGCATCAGAGATGTGCCATGAGCATGTGTTGCCAGGGCGCGTGCCTTGAAATGTTGTCAGGTATCTGAAATGATGGGACAGAGGTGCGAACATAAGCCAGGTACCCACTCGGACTTCCGTGTCAGGAATTGTTGACGTCTAGTTTCTTGTGGCAAGTGGTAGGACAGGAGCTGCATATTTAATGAGGCAAGATTACATTTACTGGTCTGTTAACAAGCAATAATCCCTATGAATTGCCATCTCAAAATTCGCTAGCGAGAATCTTGGTTTGTTTACTTCTGTTTCTGACTTCATTATTTCTAATCTTGATATCATTCATCTCCAAGGTGTAAAATTTATCATGGTGGTGTAAATCTACACAGGATGAGAGTTTCTTCAAGCTTAGCTGGGTGGACTAAGTCTCTGATTTAAAAGTGTTAACTACAGTTCAGACAATTATTGCATATTAGTTTCTTGAAATTTAATTAGCCTGTGTGATTGGCTAATTGCTGTTGCTATTTTAAGTCGGTGCTTTTACTTTTTGAAATAATTTCAGCCAATGGAAAAAATAAGATGGTGGAATTTGCAAGTCAAGCGTCTGTATCTTGTATGTGACATTTTTAATGGAGAATTGGCTAAGTACCTGAAGGGAAAATATTTGCAGGTTACAGAGAAAGAGTAGGGGAGTGGATCTAGTTAAATTTCTCTTGGAGAGAGCATTCAATGGCTTTTTGTCAGCATAGAAATTCGGAGTCGTCCATCCAGTTTCTCCATTGAATACAAATGACCGGACTATGCAGAGAAGCATTGGTCAGATGTAAACTGGGATTTAGGGTCCATGGAAAAGGGAAAATAGCTGTGTTGTTATAATAACTGATAAGGAATTGAAAAATAAGCCAAAATGATTTTTGGCCCCTATAATAAATATATTGATAACCTTCATGTGGGTAGAATCATAGAAGTCCAAATCATGACTATTTTTCAACTGAAAGTTTGAGTTTTTAAAATAAGCTGCATATGGTCAAATAAACAGTGAGTTGTAATTTGATGCAGATCAAAATGGAGAGATTTTTGTTGAGTTCTTAATGGACTGAATAACAGAGTTGAACCATTAGACAAAAGCATGAAGACTTTCAGAGGTGTAATTTGTCTGGTGCATTTTCTTCCAGAAAAATTTCTATTCTGTCTCACTTCTGTCATCCTGAAGCTTGAAGTTGCATGAATTGCATCTCGAGACTAGGTAATTATAACCTGCACTTAAAATATTTCATTGTGTAGGAAGCAAACTGAAGTTTAGTAACCATTTAATTTCACTATACTATCCTTTAAAATCATGATCTTGTATTGAAAGTAGAACTACTAAGAAGGGCTAAGGTCAAAATAGACAGAAACCAGGTAATTACTGTAAATATAAAC